CTTACTGTCTCTTCGCTAATTGTAATAAGATAAGATTAGTACAGAATACATGTAAAAAATGAATCTAATATTATTAGAATAAGTATATGATAATTTCAACTCGTCAATATAATTACTCGGAGCTATTTTTATACATGTGTTATCATAGAATGACACTGACGCATTTCTGTAATTTTATTTCTCATCCTATTTGATTTATTCTATAGAATTCTTCATCAAAAATCACAGCACCATTACTTAATTCAACTAAATCAAATGAAAAAGAAAAAGATACATCATTAAAATCAAATAAAATTTCAAGTAATATTTTTTAATTTTTTTTTTTTTGAAATAATTTTATATTTTTAATTAAAATAGGTGTTGATGCTGCAGCAGCAAGATTATCAGGTAAAATAATTTATTTTTGATTTAATTTTCAAAGAAAATCTTTTTGTTTAATTTAGCTGTAACTGATTTTAAAACTGAATTAAATGAAGATGAAAAGAAAATTTTAGCTGAAGAAGATCAAGCTGTACAAGAATCTGTTCAATATAAAAAGAAATGGAGAAAAATGCTTAAAGTAATTCATAGAATGATTATGATAAATAAATAAATAAAATGTTTTCATTTAATTTTTTTTCAGAGACATCGAAAAAAGAGTCAAAATGATGATTCATTCGATGAAGATGAAGAGATTCCTATGGAACCAATTGATGAAAAACCTAAAACAATCATTGGTGTAACACCAGTTGCTGATGATAAATGTCGATATTTTATGGGTAAAGATTATTCAAATTCTTATGAAAAAGATTTTGAATTTATTGAAAAATTTGATGAAGGTGAGATTTTGAAAATAAAATTATTTTATTTTATTATTGAAATTTGTATATTTAAAAAAGATTATATTGATCGAAAAGCTTCACCACGAATGCCATGGCATGATGAAGCATTAGTTGTTTCAGGTGAAGCAGCAAGAGATTGTGCAAGACATTTTATTCAACGATGGAATATTCATAAAGTTAGTTTTTCAATTTTCTATTCTACAAATTTGATTTTTATTTCAAAATAGGCGGATAAATTTCGTTTTGTTGATTCCTATCCATATCTTCTTCCTAAAAGTTATAATGATAATGAATTATTAGATTATTCAATGTTAACATCAATTCTTGGAGAAGAACGAAAACCAATTTGTATTGATGCACAATGTGTTCGTTCAGTTTCATTTTGGTCATGTGGTACACGTACTGTTGAACATTCAATACAAAATGCTTATATTCATATGATTGATAGTGCACAACATTTTATTTATATTGAAGTAAAATAATTTGATTTGAAAAACAACAAAAAAATATTTTTCTAATAATTTAGAATCAATTTTTTGTTTCGATTGCAAATGATGCAACAATTAAAAATAATATTGGTGATGCACTTTATCGTCGAATAATTCGTGCTAGTATAAATAAAGAAAAATTTCGAGTTTATATTGTTGTACCATTATTACCGGGATTTTCTAATGCAAATGCTGTTCAAGCTGTTCTTTATTTTATTATGAGATCAATTAATAAAGGAGAAACATCACTTTATCAAAGATTAAAACAAAGTGGTATGTTTATTAATATAAATAATTCGATACGAATTAATTTAATGTAGGTGTAAATAATCCCGAAGATTATATAACATTTTATGGTATGCGTAATTGGGATATCTTAATGGGTTCATTAGTAAGTAGATTTAGTTTTTATAAAAAACAAAAAATAAATTGTTTTGTAAAAAAAAGGTCACAGAAATAATTTATGTTCATTCAAAATTAATGATTGTTGATGATCGTATGTGTATCTGTGGATCAGCCAATATAAATGATCGATCACTTCAAGGTTCACGTGATTCAGAATTTTGTTTAGTTGTTAGTGATACTGAAATGATTGATTCGAAATTAAATGGTCAAACACAAAAAGTTGGAACTTTTTCTTCAACATGGCGAAAAAAATTATTCAGGTTTGATTTTATTTGAAATATTTTAAAAAGAAAATTTTTTCATTTTAGACAACTTTTGGGTATTAAAAATGAAAAAGATATGAATGTTGATGATCCCTGTTCTGATGAATTTTACAATTATTTCCGTGACACAGCAAAAAACAATGCACAAATTTATGAAGAAGTTTTTAATACATTACCAACAAATCGTGTTAGAGAATTTGCTCAAGTTGAATCATATGTTGACCGACCAAAATTAAAACAAACTGATCCATTATCTGTAATAATTGAATTTTTTATATAACAAATATATTTTTTCAATTTATTTATTTTGTTAAGGCACATGAAAAATGCAAACAAATTCAAGGTTTTATTGTTGAATTTCCATTAGAATTTTTAGCTGATGATGTTTTAATGCCTAAATGGAATACATCAGAAGGTTAATTGAAATTTTATTTTTGAAAGAAAAGTTTATTTCTTTTTTTATTTTTAGGTATGGCTCCGATTCTTTTATGGACATAAAAATTCAATTGGAAATTTTGTTAAACTATTTCCTATAGAATAAAAAAAGCTTTGCTTAGTTTCTTTTTTGTTAAAAAACAAAATAACTATCTGTTATATTAGCTATTTGCTTTCATTTTGTGCTCTGTAAAATGTCTTCTTTCTTTTTTTACGTCAATTCTTCAAACGAATGCATTTATAGATGCTTCGTATATTATTATTACTATTATTATTAGAAATTAATAAACTAGAACATAATTATTTTATATTAATTCAATCAATATTATCTTATGACACGAAAATTATTCTTTGAATATATTATCAAATGGAAAACTATTCAATAACAATCTTATCTGGACTTTGTATGACATTTAGAAATACTGCTGATTGATATCTCGTTTGAGTAATGCGTCAATAGAGACGTTTTTCAAAGAAACTTCTCATATCAATTCAGTAAGATAGAAATATCAAACATTTGTCAATGGAATAAGATAAACAAGTTAGAATTTATTGGATCAATGAAAAAAAGAATCACTAGCTGAGACAATTTCTAAGATAATGAAGAATATTTGAGAAGAAGAATTTCAAAAGAATTTTGTCAAATTGTTAGAAAAAATAATAATATGCTCACCATTTTGAATACATTAATAAAGTCAAATATTTTACATTTTTATTTACGATTTTCAGTAGTTCTGTTCAGTTGTGAATCTTCTAGAGTTTAATCTAAACGAATATGAGAATTAAATTCAAGATGAAGTAGATATTTTACTATGTATTGAAACTTTGAAAATTAAATGTTTTATAAAATGAAAAATATCGTGGCTAGAACTGTTGATATACTCTAAGTAAAATATATTTATGAAAGAAGCAGGAGACAATATTCTCTATCATCTTTTAATATATGTTTCGATGAGATTAATTTATCGATATTCAATATCATTAAAAAAGTTTTATTTGTGACAATTAAATACAACAAGATATCGAACAAAACAAATGATTTTATTATTAGGATTTCCATAGTATAATATCAATTTTCTGTCTTTTAATACGTGTATTAGTGACATTTTAAATAATTAAGAAAAGATTAAGTATTAATGGAAATTTAAATATTGATAGATAAGTATCTCATATGATTTTATCAATGTCAATTTCTATTGTGTTTTCTTCTATTTCATATTGTATAAAACAAATTTATTATATTAGAACTGATAGGATAAAAATCTATTTCTTTAATCCTAATTATGATTATTAGAATTAAAGAAAGTTTCTCTTCAATTTTATTTTCATCTATTTATTTAAAAATGTTTATGAAAACAAGAATAATATACCGAAAACTTCTTTTTTTATTAAAATGAACAAGAACATTTTCTTGGATTTCCATCTAAGAATCAATCAAATTTTTGAATAATATTTAATTATCTACGAACAATTTTTATTAAACATTTCTATGTTAAGAAATATTGACGAAACAAAAAAGTTCATCTTTCAACAACTCTTTACAATTTTGATGTTTTGCTTCGTAATGTATGTTTTTGTTTTTCTATGTAACCTTTTAAAAACAAAAACATGCTTATTTATACTGTTTATAAGATCAATCAATCACTTCTTCTATTTTCTCTGTCACATGGAAATATACCAGACACAAACATTTTCTTTTCTTCTTTTCGATAAATTATTTTGCAAAATATAAATACAATATTATATTCTGTTTTGTTTTCTACAAAATAACTTTTTATCATTTATTCATTTACAATAAGAAATATGACTATCACGTTAACAAATAGTTTCAAATAGATCAATACAAAATGCCAGTGTTTTATTGTTCCATTTAATGAATTAAATTCGATAATTGTGAAATTATGTAAAAAAATAGAAAAAAATGATTCGAACAAAAGAAAAAAAAAAGAAAACTGAAACATGAAAAAACTGTCATGCTGAAAAAATGAAGAAATTTAAAACGCCCTCATAACTATGATACGCCTACATTACTCAAGTTTGTTTTCCTTTTTTGTTCTCATAAATGGTAATCGAACATTTCAATTTTATATATATACCAAATTCATCTTATTTCATAATTCAATTTTTCTTCTTACATTATTCGATCAACAACTGTATATTCACCTTTAACTGATAGAATTAATTATTTTTTCAGCTGATAACTACAAAAATATGGAGTTAATGTCCTATAGTCCACAACAAGTGGAGTTAATGCCCTATAGTCGACAATCAACATCTCCTATTGTCCTTAATATTGAAGATAAAAGAACAGGTCGAATAAGAACACGGTATGAATATCAACAAATTTTTATTTCGCTTTATTTTTTAATTCAATTTTCTTGTAATTATAGTAAGAGATGCTATTGGAGATGTTGCCTTTTAACAACTTTACTAACTGGTTTGTTAGGAGGTCTTATAGCAGCTGCTATAATTCTTCCTGTTCTAGCTGCTACTCTTACAAGTTTGTTAAATAAACTTAAAATAAATAAATATCATTTTAAAATATATCTTTGATAGCA